ATATATATATATGTATAAGTGTTCGCCAGATCACAAATGATAAAAATCAAGAAATAAAAATAAATAAATAAAAAATAAAACTTGCACCACACTTTATCAAAATTATGTGATGCCGACAATAATAAGCCAAAACAAAAATTAAAAAAAAAAAAAAGCCGAAGACTTGACGATCGTCGATTGGTGTCAAGATTGCGTGGGCCCCGCAAAAGTGAGTCCGGAAATGGTCCCCGCCAAAATCTTTAATGCGCGCCGAATGGCTTCGGAAATTTGTAAATAATAGGGATTAAAAAACATTTAATGAAAGCCATCGTTCGGACAAATGCTTATCATTACTAAAAACTTTTAATTAAGAATCTGTTTTGGATGGCTTGAGTTTTTTTTTTTTTTTTTTTTAAGTTTTATTAAAAATGTATATTAAAAAAAAAACGGAACAATTTTCTTATATATACATCAACAATTTCTATAAAATAATAAGACAATGGTTTCATAAAATGAAGTTGTGATGATGTCCTGAAAGGCAAAAGATCATTTGGGTAAATTGTGTTTTGACAATTTATTCTAAAAATTGTGTTTTCAAACAGCTGAAATCATCATTTTTACACGTTCCTCGCTTGTTGCGGTAGCATCTTTTACTTTTTTTTAAAAAAAAATTTATAATAGCCAGCGGTTTTTCTTATAGCAGATTATTTTTCAGCAGCTTATCAGTAGCTTATTAATAAGCTGCAGCTGTCCCAAACTTAATACTTGTATTATTGACTTGCAATGTATTCCAAAATAAACTCTAGACAATTATTTTAGAAAAAGTTAATGTTTCTTTTTTTTGGAAGATTTGCATACAGACCACTCAATTTTTATGTATTTACTTATCTAAACACATAAAATTTTATTTTTTAGATTCATACCACCTTACCTTTGTATAAAAAAAGTCTTTTCACTTTTTAAGAGTTAAGAAGATGGTAATTTTTATGTGGTATGAAGTATTTGGATGACATAATTGTAAAAATCAAAATTCAGGTGCAAGAGAAGTAAATGCATAAGAGTTGAGTGGCATGTATGTAAATGCCACCTTCGTTTTAATGTGACATCAAGGACAAATTAAATGCTTTTTAAGTTGCTTTTGGATTTTAGGAATATAAGGCCAAAAATAAAAGAAAGAAGATATTCTTATATATCACTCATTTCTTGCATATTTACATATCTAACCCCCTAAAGTTTAATTTTTACAATCAGATATATTATTTTACCTATGCATGGAAATGTGTATTTTACGTGTATTTCACTTTAAAAATTAAAATGGTGGTATTTTTTATGTGATATGGAAGATTTTGGCGGTATAAATGTAAAAAATAAAATTTAGATGTTAGATATGCCATCACTTGCTTAACTTTTAATAAGAATGCAAAACCTCTTATCATTGTCTTTTTCTTCACAGTCTCTAGGAATGCAAATTATTTATTGTTTGATATCTAGTCTTTTCAAAATGTAGATGAGAAGAAAAAATTTTTTTTACAAGTTAATTTTGTGCTAATCTATATAAAAATAAAAAGTGGTAAGAAAATATTGTTAACATATAAGTTCTAGTGTTATGTGAAATAATGCGGAAGCATAGAAATTCTCACAATAATTAGACACAAATGATTTACGTGGTTTGGCGTTATGCTTATTTGGCTACGTCCACAGGGAGGAAGATTTCACTAGTACCGGATGGGAGAAAAAAAAAAGAAAAAACTAGAGTTACGGCTCACACTTCTTACCATGGCTCTCACCACATACTCTCAAAAGCCCTAAATCCTTTTTATAGAGGAAGAATTGGACATACAAGTAAATAAAACAAAAAGACTAAATTACCCCTAATTACAACTAAGTCATAAATACAACCATATTCATTTCATCTCTTACTTCTAAATAAGTGATGGATTACTAAATGAATTTCAAACTCCAATTCAGCTGCACCGAGAAGGTTACCTACGTACCCCTCTTCTGAAGGGATCAAGCCTCGCGTAGTACTTCAAAATGCCCAACTTAGAAATTTGTCCTGAGCTAAGATGTTCACCAAACTCCTATAGTAGGTGAGATTCTGCATTGGTAGTACCTTAGTGAGCATATCCGTTGGATTCTCCTTTATATATGTTTTCTTCAATAGAAATTTATCGTTATCAATCAAGGCCCAAACAAAGTGGTATTTCACATCAATATGCTTGTTACTAGCATAATGAATTAGATTTATGATCAACAATATTACACTCTAACTATCACAGAACATCATCAAAGACTCCTATTCAACTCTCAAAGTCATCAATAATATGTACCCCTCTTCTGAAGGGATCAAGCCTCGCGTAGTACTTCAAAATGCCCAACTTAGCAATTGGTCCTGAGCTAAGATGTTCACCAAACTCCTATAGTATGTGAGATTATGTATTGGTAGTACCTTAGTGAGCATATCTGTTGGATTCTCCTTTATATATATTTTCTTCAATAGAAATTTATCGTCATCAATCAAGGCCCAAACAAAGTGGTAT